TGTAGGCTTGATGAATGTTTCACAATTCTGTGGGCCTGCCTTTTGTCTTGTTCACTGTGTCATTTGGCTTAAAGAAACTTCTCAGTTTCAGGAGGTCCTATTTATTAATTGTGGATCTCAGTGTTAATGCCAGGAACTTTTGGAAGGGTTGCTTCAAATCCTCAGAACCCAGCTCCTCCCACCATATAGAGATATTTTTGTTTGTCTTAAAGCACTGTGTCTTTTGTAAGTCATGTTCTTGAGATACCCTATTTGTCTCATGTGGCATTGGTTGAGTAGCCTCTTTTTGAATTTCTCTGATTATATAACAGTTTTTGATGACTTCACATTATTCTCCCATTAACTTCCATCCTCCCATCTCATTTAAGTAGTACACAAGATGCTATTCTTCTTAAGAAGCTTAGATAGTCTGGTCATATCCTCTGCAATTCCTCCCCACCCTAGCATTTATCTTTTTCTACCATCTACTTGTCCTATCTTTCATATCCCCATTACCTTCACCTCAGGACTCTGTTGATGAAAAATGACCTCTTGTTTCAAGTCAATGGTGTACTTCAGTCATTATTTTAGGAATGGAATGCCCTTGCTGTAAGAAGTTATTTTTAAGTATATCCTTGTTGTGTGATTGTATTTTACTTAAATGCTACTATCCCCTTCTAAGGATTGGTGTTCTTCTAGTTTATGGTGTTTATCTTTAGAGCAATGGTCTGACAAATTTTAATGTGCTCTAATACAAATCTCTACATCTCTGCAGCACTTGGCCATAAAGACTGTTTCACATTTTCAAACTAATTTTTCAGATTATAAATGCATAATTTTCACCTCATCTTTTCTGCCTCCAAGCCCCATCACTACCCCCATGCTTTCTAATCTGCAGCCTGTTTTTCTTTACCCCAGTTACACAATAGTAACAGTTACTGTATTAACATGACTTGTGTTTGTTTTCAGGGTTTCCCAGCTTTGAGGCAATGGGTTTGCTGCACTGGACATTGAGTGTGTAATAGACTGTGCACTGTGCTTTGGATGAGGAACAGGATGTGCTCTATGAGACAGGAAAAATGTCTAGTAAAACACAATCTTTCTAGATTAGGCCTCTGTTTACTGTGCTTGAAGTTCAGAGTTGGAAGGTCTGTGCTGTCTGAGTAATTTGATCTCTGATCACCCAGTAAGGAAGCTGCTAATATGAGAACTAGTTTGGTGACCATAGGCAATGTGGGGTTCTGTGGAGAGTTAGATGCCAGGATAAGTAGTGGCAGTTA